GAGAGAGAGAGAGAGAGAGAGAGAGAGAGAGAGAGAGAGAGGGAGCCGTTGAGTGTGTGGTTTCCTCCAACTCCGAATTCTTGTCCCAGGTTGTTCCACGTCAGTCCTAGCAGCAACGCGATTTTTAAGACTGATGAAAGCTTTGGCTGCAAGGATCTCGAACCAAGGAATTATTTTATTTTTTGCGAATCCACGTATGTACCTCGGTTTCTCGCTAGCAGTACCCCCCCCCCCTGAGCTATTCTTGGCCGTTTTCCTCTCTCGCACGCCTGTTTGGGTTGACCCGTGTTCCGGCTGTCCTTGAACGGACTGAAAGGTGCGACATATCGACTTCAAGTTCTTGCTGAAGGCAGATGACGACACCTTCGTGTGTGTGGAGAGACTGGCCAACTTCCTGCACAATCAGCCGGAAGAATCTAAGGACAAGATTTACGCCGGTGTTCCAACAGCGTGCAACTCTCCGGCTAACCCCAGCGTAAAAGTATGTTGTTGGTGTTGTTTTCGTTGCTGATGTGTTAATTTTTGCCGTTATATAATTCGCATGTAGGAACAAGTGTGCTGCTGTATCTGATCGCCCCATGGTCTAGTGGGTAAGCATTGACAGTTATCCTCGATGGTGAGTAAAGGGCATAGCAAGAACACTAGGAAAAAACAACGATTTTCGAGCTCGGTTCAGAACATGATGCACAAAAAATGATACAACAGCCAGTTGCGGGCTCTGTTCAGGGCACATCAAAGACTAGAACAAACCAAGGCACAAAAAAGAGTCTCGAGTTCTACTCACGGCATCACAACAATCAAGGAAGAGTAATAGCGTCCGGCTCTGTTCATTGGCACTCCTTCCTTCCCAGGAACATGACTGCATTACGCTTTTCCAAACGTGAGCGCTAACGTCACTTGCCGGGATGCGTCACATTGGGCGCTCTGAAACCGTTGCCCCGACTTTGCGGCCAGCGCCCATGACACTCTATGTCGAGAGCGGCTGATAGGTCTTCGCGTTCGGCACACAAACGTTGGCGACTCAAGTTCGTTCGTGCGTTGTTGTGTTGGTGCACGGAATACTCGTTTGCACTGATTGGTGTGGCGGCAGGTTGGGCGTGTGATAAAGGATCACAAGGATAAGTGGTACGACCAGAAGTTTGTCCACCATACGCTGGCGGGGCTTGACTGCTACCCGGTCTACATGCAGGCGAGTCGATGCCATCGTACAGCCAAGGGTTACCGGTTATTTGTCCGATCAGGCTTTCGTTGTGGGTGACATGTTGGGCTTGCTAGGCGCTCCCGAGTTCAGACTCGATGACATACATCTTCGTGTCACTGAGTGGAGCGGGAATTTTCTTGAGACGTCTGGCGTTTTTTCGAGGGAGTTTTTGGTGGCGGGGATTGCAAAATGTTTGTTTTCGTTCCTTTTTCATCGTGCTTTTGCAGCTCAACAGCAGTGAAGCTCCTTTCGGCATTGACTTCGTCGCAGAACCTCGATACATCATTCCGACGAGCCGTGCTGCCATAAAATCTTGCAACGCCTTTGATTGCACTTTCGGACCTCTCTGCCGTAAACCTACCATCAACACCTCCGCACTCCCTCACTCCCTCTCTCTATCTCTCTATCCTCTGTCTCTGTCTCTGTCTCTGTCTCTGTCTCTCTCTCTGTCTCTCTCTCTCTCTCTCTCGCTCTCTCTCTCCCTCTCTCTCTCTCTCAATTTCTCTGTCTCCCTCTCCTCTCTCTCTCTCTTTCTCTCTCTCTTTCTCTCTCTTTCTCTCCCTATGTGGTTTCTTCAGGGAGCGTTCTACGTCCTGGCGCAGCCACTAGTAGAGCACTTGTACAGAGGGCGGGAGCACTACGATACCTTCATCAACGAAGATGTCACCGTCGGCTCTTGGCTTTTGGGGGTGAGTAGTGAATACCGTCGGCAACTTTGCCTGCTGCCCATTCTTGCAAGCGCTGTCTGACAAATGCGACTGTGCTGTGACAGGTATAATGGCTGCCCGTGGTGCTCAAATTTGTTCGAAAAGTCACACACACCTCAAGTTTCGTCCTCCTGAAGCGTTGTGCTTTGGCATGTAGCTGACGCCGTTCCCATCGTGCTGAAGTCCATCCAAAAACTTGCCTGTCAATTTCTTCTAATGCCCATGACGACGGTATTCGGTGTGGGTACACATCACGATCGGCCCAACGTCCATAGGCCACCGCAACTCCAAACAATCGTTCCCGCTAACCTGAGTGATTCATCGATTGGCCTGGACAGAAGGGCCACTGGGCGTGGTGTCTTGAGAAATACTGTTCAATATGCATGGTGCTTCACCCTACTCTACAAGTTTGCAGCGGTGCTGCTTGGCTGGTGGCTGTTGCTGAAAGGTGTACGAGACGATTTGTGCCGGGAGGTGTGAAGCGGTGGCCAGGATAGATGGGACGGAGTCACGAGCAAACAGCACACACACAAAGCACACCTTGCCGGGAGAACCCGATGCCTGAAGAATGTTCATCCCGCTGTAAAACGGACGTCATTTCGTTTGTCAGCCGGGTGCCGCAGTCGATGTCATCGAAAACAGACACACACACATGTCACACGTCTGGTGTTGAGTCAGCCGGTTAGAGCGGTCGTGCTAATATCAAGGACACACACACACGTGAAACGTTGGTGCAGGTGGACCGAGCACTAGGAACGATACACGATTTTGAGTCATCAAGATTGTGGAACTGCGTGTGCGGCTCCAATTTCGTCTTGAGGCCGGCCGTGCGGAAGGACCAGGCAAGGTTTTGCCATCAGGCCCATTTTCGCATTTTTTCTGGTAGCATTTGGCCTAAACTTTCATGGCAGCGGTTGTGGTTTTGTTTGAAGTAGTTGTAGGGCCAGTTTTGTTCTTTTACACTTTTGTGGAACGTTCTGGCCTCGGCTCAGAACGTTCTGATATCCGTACCGGTGCAACTAATCGGACGCCGACGCCTTCCGTGGTGACAGGTTAGAGCTAAATTTGTATGCACACTGGGGCGCTTTGGGGGTATGTCTCTTTTGCGTTGCTTACACCCAAAAGGTTATTTTTCTCCCCCCCCCTCGGTGTTTGCCATCGGGGTTGGGTTTTCGTCGCTCGGCAACGACGTTGTAACACAAGCCAATTCACTTTCGTGAACTCGGCAACTAGGTTACCGGTTTTTTTTTGCGGTAGCCATAATGGTGGTCGAGTAGATCATGTTGGGCGGGGTCGAGAACCCTCACTCCGCGCAAGGGGGATGATCGCACCACGTTGTGTTCAAATGATAAAGCATTCTCGAGGCAGTCACGCGATGCTTTTTACTGTCTCTGGAAGCGAAAACACAGAAAATAAATAAAGTCATACGCAGCTGTCATCCGTACGCCAAGAAGTAAGCACAAGATGCCAAACACCCTTAGCAGGATGCAGCGCACCCTTCATGCGACTCGCCGAATACCTCACGGCGCTTCGCGCTTGGTGATGTGAGAGCCTGGTCCGGTGAGAACCCGGCGTGCTCCGTCCCGGCTTTGTAGGGATGCGAGGTCAATGGTCTAACGACTACGGCATGCACGAC